CATAGAGTTTGTGAAGCTACAGGGATGTTTAGCAGACTGGAAGAGAGAGCCGGCACCCGGCACCCAGCCCCACGCAGCAGCGGCAGGCTTTGACTGACAGGTGGCCTTCTCCTCAGTCTTAATGTAAATTGCTTTATAAAAACATAGCTGTAGGCCCGTCTCCTGGTCTCTTCCCAAACCTATCCCTAGGCCTTCCTGGCCTAGGTATTCTGGAACCTCTGAGATCCCCCAACTTTTTCTAGATCCTTGTTTTGAATAGGAGTGGTACTATCATTGTGGATAGGACAGTTTTCCCTTGTGTGACCCCTACTCACTAAATATCAGAGGTGTTCCTCCTAGTTAAGGTAGCATTTCCAGATACCCATAGGGGAACCATTTTTGTTTAGAAATACTGGGAATTAGTGTCCATATTTCCCACCAGCTGATGCAGAATGGGACCAGTGTGATGCAGGGAAAGAGGTGAACAGACCCAGATTCAAATCTTGCTGATGATTTTGGACAAATTGCTTAACTCTTTTAAGACTTAGGTTTTCTTTCTGTTTATTAAAGAAGGTAATACTACCCATTTGGAGGGGGTGTGTTTATTTCATTTGTTTGCTTTTGAGAATTAAATATATATAAAAGCACCTATCTGAGTGCTGGCACATCGTGACACTCGTTAATTTCTTGTCCTTCTCCCCATGAATGTCCCACTGAGCCTTTTAATTTATTGTTGAGACTTTTCTCCCCATTGATTGTGAATGAACCACAAGAATTGACTAAGTAAACCAATAGCTATGAAATAAATTATTTCCTTCACTGTCTCACTATCAGGGGTAGCAGCTGTCTGTGTAAAGAGATGATGGGGCACCAAGGGATGTGAACCCAGTGACCATGTTCTCTTAGCTCTGAGCAAGCTCTCACAAACTTTACCCTTCATTCTCTTTGGTATAAATCTCTCTAAGGGGAAAAATACCTAAAGTAAACCACGTAGTTTTCAGTAGAGTGCTGACTTCTGGTTTTCATTATGAAGAATTCTATTACAAACCACAAGACCACTTTCTAAAAGCTTCCTCCCAGGGAGGGATGTATGTTGATTCGGCCTAGATACCAGGAGATTGGATTACCTCTGTGAACAGCTTTTTCTGATTCAGCCTAGACCAAGTGTGCCAAAAGCAACTGTCATAAATTGGGAGACAGAAACATATCCTAAGATTCGGAGAAAAATTCTCACCTCTAGATACTAGTCTGATGTATTAGTTTCCCACGGTTGCTGTAACAAATTACTACAAATTTTGTGGCCTTAAACAACAGACGTGTACCATCTCACAGTTCTGTAAGACTTCTAAATGGGTCTCACTGGGCCGTCATCGTGGTGCTGGCAGGGTTGTGCTCCTTTCTGGAGGCTGTAGAGGAGAATTGTTTCCTTAATTTGTGTGGCTTATGCCACTTTCCCAGGGTCCCTGTCCCCTTTCCTCCATCTTCAAAGCCAGCATTGTCTGGTCAGGTCCTTCTCACCTCATATCCTTCTTGCTTTCTCTTCTGTCTCTCTCTTCCACATTTAAGGACTTTTGTGATTTCACTGGGCTCATCTTTATAGTCCAGGATAATCTCCCTATTAAAGTCCAGTCACTAGCAGCCTTCACTGCATATGCCTTCTGACCCGACCCACTGTTCCACTGACTGGGATGTGGGTCTCTATGGGCGGGGGGTGGGCATCATTCTGCTTATCACAGTTGGCCCTCTGTTCCCCAGAGATGCACATCCATCCCACATGCCTATTTCACCATCCCCCCAAAGTCTCCGCTTGTCACATCCAGGAAATACCTGTGCAAGTGAGGAAACAGAAGTGTGTTACTCAAGGTGTGATTTGTGAAGGTTGTTTATACCTTACATGTAACTAGCATGCAAGAAGCCAATGTTAGGAGTAGATGGAAGAAGTTAACACATGTATTAGAAAGGGAAAAATCCTTAAACCTGAGTGTATGTTCTAATTCATTGTAAGCTTTTAGACTTCAAAGTGTCCAGGTTCATGGAGTCCGTGTGTCATAATAGTAATACTCTGTGTTCCTGAAGCAGCTGTTAGTTTGCAAAGCATTTCCACATTCAACCACATGTATTATCCATCTGTATCTTGCCCCTGAGAATAACTTTCTGAGGAAATGATTCAAACGTTGCCATTGTTTTTGGGCAGATGGAGAACTGAGAATCACATGGGTGGTCTTACAGCTACTCAGTAGTAATGCTGACACTTGAACCTTGGATTTCCACCTTCACTTCACTATTCTTTCAAACCTAACCTCTTATTTATTTATTTTAGTGCTCCTCCTCTTACCCAC